GTTATATTCCGTTTCATTATGGCAATGTTACAGTTATGTATCTGTATTTGCTGGGATGTGTCTGTCAAAACAGTCACGAAATCAGCTACTCGAATCGATTACGAATCGATTACGAATCGATACGACGAATCAAAACAAAGAAACAAATTTAAGAAATTAGGCTCTCGAGTGAACTCACAAATTCTAATAATCGCGGGCTAGTAAGAGCCAGAACGCGGATGGCAGTGCGTCAGTTTCATAGAAAAATAAGTTTTCTATGAAACTGAATATGTGCACAGGGCACGAAATTTACTTGGTGTATACCAAGATTTTTTTAAAAATTAATCTCAATTCGAGATTTACAATAATCCCTCTTTACCCCCCTGGAGAGACGAAGGCGAGAAAAATATCGGGGCGAAGTCGCTGAATCGGGAATCGAACCCGAGTCTTTCGCTTGCCGGGCGACTGCTCTTACCTCTGAGCTATTCAGACCCCACACCACCGATACTTCTCATTTGCCTTATAATATCTATTACTATTAACGCCATCTTTCAGCCGGCGTGAACTAACAAATTTAAGAAATTAGGCTCTCGAGTGAACTCACAAATTCAAATAATCGCGGGCTAGTAAGAGCCAGAACGCGGATGGCAGTGCGTCAGTTTCATAGAAAAATAAGTTTTCTATGAAACTGAATATGTGCACAGGGCACGAAATTTACTTGGTGTATACCAAGATTTTTTAAAAATTAATCTCAAGATGGCGTTAATAGTAATAGATATTATAAGGCAAATGAGAAGTATCGGTGGTGTGGGGTCTGAATAGCTCAGAGGTAAGAGCAGTCGCCCGGCAAGCGAAAGACTCGGGTTCGATTCCCGATTCAGCGACTTCGCCCCGATATTTTTCTCGCCTTCGTCTCTCCAGGGGGGTAAAGAGGGATTATTATAAATCTCGAATTGAGATTAATTTTTAAAAAAATCTTGGTATACACCAAGTAAATTTCGTGCCCTGTGCACATATTCAGTTTCATAGAAAACTTATTTTTCTATGAAACTGACGCACTGCCATCCGCGCTCTGGCTCTTACTAGCCCGCGATTATTTGAATTTGTGAGTTCACTCGAGAGCCTAATTTCTTAAATTTGTTAAAGTTTGTAGTTTTACAATTAATGCTTTACAAATAATGGTGATTTTAATATTGTAATTTATATACCTTGTAATATTATGGGTACATTGTACAGATTGGAATATTCATTCTCCTTGTCTCCCATATCTGTTGTTATCAATAATTCATTTTCTTCTTCTGGAAATGTATAAATTACCATGTGTAATATTACTGTAATCATTTACATATTTTTATCATAAAAAATACCATTTTGTGAAGTAATAATTTTGTTGTGTCTGTTGTCATTATTAATTTTTAAGATCTTGTTTTGTTGTTCTTTGTTAATAAAATCCAAGTTTGGAGGACATAATGGTAGTTGCTGAATAGTGTTGGTGGTTGCCTGAACAGCAGTTTTAATTTGTTTTTCTATAAATAGGATCCAATATTTGTATTCCAATATTACATTGCAAGGATTCGTGAACAATAACAATGCAAAATAGTTATATGAAAATTATGCTATAATATAAAGGAAATATGCATTCGCTTTGCACATTTTCATGTTGATAGCATCAATCTATCTTTATTGCTCATTATATGCTGATAAAGATAGAATAATGCTTTCAGTACGAAAGTGTCCAAAACGGACGCAATTATAGTAAAATATGTGTCAACGGTACTTTACTTTTCGTATATTTTCGAGGTTGAGATTGATGATCATATTCTTCTTCATCGCTGAAACGACTATACAAAATACGTTGCCTCTTTCCTCGGCCCAGTCGTTCTTCGTCGGTTGTGCTATAATTAGAATCTGCTGCATTCTTTCGAGCTGATTCAAGAGATGCTGCAGTAAAAAACAAAAAATTACATTTAGATTTTTCATTCACTGACTAGCATAATAGTTTTAATATTTACTGGTAATTAAATCTGTATTTTACATCATATACTTCGCATGTACATATATTTGTATATTATGATAGTAATTCATTATTTAACTAAGAGGTAAAAACATAAGAAATGATTTTATTTTTCCTATATGTTACTTTATGTTTTATGTTGTAAACTTGACGATTATATATTAATGCAAATACTTACTACAATATTTTACGATATCCACTTCATAACTATTCCATGTAGAATCGGGACTTTCACAGTTTATTATTAATGTTGCACTGTTTGCCGTTCGAGGTGGCCACCAACATTGCTGAATATCCTCCTTATCTTTAAAAAGCCATGCTGTTGGAATTTCAGAATATGTAGAATCTGATAAAAATTTAACTACTGCATATTTCTTATTTTCACAACTCATCTTGTGGAAAATGTGGGAAATGTATAACGTTTCAAAAACTGAAAACAGAAATTAGTTCGTAATAACATCAATAATTTTAAAAACAAAAGGAAGTTGAACATAATATTTTTAATGGAAACAAAACTAAAATTGCTGTAAGATTAATTTTCTTGTCAAATTTGTTCTAACATTGATACATATAATACTTTTGCTACTTTTGATATAAAATTTTTGTATATCGATTCTTCGTGTTTACAAATTACAGATTTATAAAAAAGGCCTTCGAAAAAGAAAATTGTCAAACAGAATGTAGATTAAACAATCTTCCAAATCTTTTTTTTCACATTATTTGTTTAACTTGTATAAAATGAAACATGAATCTTTGTTATAGTAAAATACTATACACTCACCTTTGAAATATTTTTAGTCATGAACTAAAAATCCATCAAAATTTGTATTTGCAATATTTCATATAAAGACAAAAGAATCGTACGTTTATTGCATATAATGCATATAAATTTAATCATATAAAGCGTACGCATACAAAAATGAAAAAAATTGAAATATATTCAACCAAAAAGTTATAACATCTAATTATTAGTGGCTTGCAATGGTATTGTAATATAAGAACCAATTTCATCAACACATTTAATTTTGAAACACTTCTTTTTTACTTGCGTTATTGAAATTTTAATTATGTCTGTAGTAGTAGTATTTGATATTAAAAATATTCCAAGTCTTTCTGACGAGCAGGGTATATGAAAAAAAGCCTTTGGATTTAAAAAACGTTTTGCACGAATATAACAAACACAGTCTTCTTTAAATATATCCAAGATAAATATTACAGATTTATCACAAAGTATAGCACAGTTATCAGCTTCATTGGCTGCAATTTTAAAATTTTTGAATTGGACATGAGAAATGGCGTTATTTTTCTTATAAAAAACAATCGGATATTGTTGCATTTTACATGATTGAATGGGAAGCTGTAATTCTTCAAAAGTGCGATTACAAAACTCTTCTAAAGGTGCTCCCGATTGATGTAATTTTTTTTTAATCTGTTGCATATAATTTTCAAATTTAAAGCAACTAAAGTTATCTAAAGAACCAAAATTTTGTACATCATTGGAAAGATGTAGAAGATTGTGAACGTTATGCGACATATACTCGTCGCCATAAATATTTCCGTAATTCGAAACAAAGTACAATAACAACAAATTCGCATAAGCGTTGAATGGCACACATAGTTCTTCATCAGTTAATATTCTAATCCCAACACTAAGAGAAAGAAAATGATTGTAGCAATTTGTAGGCAATACTAATTTCATAACAACAATTCCGGTATAAAGCAGAAATTGGCGAAATTCTGTAGCTTTCCATCTATCAATATCATTTAAACCTCTAGGTTTTCTTGCAAATTCTGCTGGAATAAAGGGTTTCAATGCAATTAAATAACACGAAATTGAATTTACAGCCTCTGAAGATAATCTAATATTTCTATTTCCTCTGACCCATAGTTGCAGCAATCGCTTGACAACACCTAAGCAAACAAGGTGCATATAATCTAATGGGATTTGGGATATCATTCCAATCGCGAGTTTTTCTAATATAGAATCACCTGTGTGATGTTCAATATGTGTACGATTTTTAAATGTGTCATTTGTACGTAACATGTTGTGAATTTCTGGAAAAACTACTCTATTACGTACAAAATCACCTTCCTGAATACATTTAGGGCAAGAGAAATATCCTGTATGACCTTTTGTGTAGGTAATAAATGATTTCGCCGGGGCATCACATAATATTGCATTAAGAGTTACTGTATATTTTTTATTAGAAACAATGATGCCTGTTTGAAAAAGAAGAATAAAATCATTAACAAAGTCAAACAAAAAATCGTTAGCGTTATTAGGTTTGCACATGCCATGATAAATACCAATTATAAAAGGTGATGTATACGTATCTACATCTTCAATAGATGCCATTATGGGCCAAAATTGGCTACCTGAACTTTTGGAAATTGGTAAGCCATCAATATTAATATTTAATTTTATTTTGTTCCCAGTAATAAATTCAGAATATATTTGTATGGATCGCTTTAAAGGAGAAAAAATACCAAAATGTAAGTAGCGACCATTACCCAGAGATTTAATATTTACAGATGCATTTCGTGGCGTTTGAAGTAATGCTCTCACGTCTTTAGGCAAATCTACATGGCCATGTTTCCTTAAAATAGTCAGTAACTCGTTAACAGTATTATGTGCAATATTTCGTTCAATAATTAATTTTTGTAAATCTTCTTGTAAACTCGTCTTATGGCTACAATCAGAAATACTACTTATATGAGAAATATGATCTTGTGCTTCAACGTTATGTTCCTCGTTATTTTCTTTATCAGATTGTGATTCTACACTTGATTCACTCATTTCATTAAGATCTTGAGACAAAATATTAATTTTATTTGTTTTATTAAATGTATCATCGACATTAGTTAAATTACTGTTACTACTATTTCCTGCTTCTATTGTATCAGATGCTATATTCGAATTGATTGAATATATTT